ACACGCTCCCAAACCCCCATCTCACCTCTCCAAACCTACCATAGACCATGGAGGCCTGCCACCGCAGTCAAGCTCCACGTACACGATTGTTCGTCCACCCACTGTAAAGCGCTGCAGAATTTGGCGCTATATAAATAATAACATAAAACATAATAATAATGCTCAGACGAGACGGGCGAAACCCAAATGTGGGGCCGACACTTGGAGCACGGAAGCGGGCGCCTCGTAAAGGGCATTTCTGCCGAAGTTTTGGCAATTCTGTGAACAACCAACGGCATGGACCACAGACCGACAAGAGAAGTCCCCACACCACTCGCCCACACCCGCTGGCGGCGCCTACCGACCGTGACCAGAAAACACCTGGAAACAGTCTCCAGACTCGGGTCCTATGTGCGGCTCAGCGAGAGATGGAAGAGGCGGCCAGATGAGACCGTGCTCCAGCTCTTGGCTGTTGGGGAGAAGCTAAGTGGGCCACCCATGAACACTCTCCCTGGATAACTCTCCCTGGATAAGGGGACATTATCTGTCGGCATAGGTTGAACCAGAAGCTCACATACCGCAATTCAACAGTGGCTGTGACACCAGTTGTATATACTATCTCACTCGCTGTCATACTCAGTAATATTTGCATCTCATGTTATTAATGTGACCGGGTGTCCAACCCGTGGTATAATAGCATGCTTTTTTCTGCCAGTTACCCATAACAAGGTATAACCTTAACCAGCAGCCACACAAGTTGTGGCCTAACCTTAACAAACATACTCAGCTAGCATACACCTCACCAGGCATACAACACACATATATGTGCATATAGCTTGAACGCATCACCGCTTACTCACAACCGCAGGTTCACACATTATTCTATCAGGTGTTTGCTCTACATCGGAGGCATGCTACTATTATCCTATTATTACCCTATGCTGACCTCTACAAATGCCAAGTTATATAACCCTGTAATACCCTAATACCTACTCATCTTTTACCATTACCTACATTATCTTGCTTCCTTATTTAAAAATTGTGCAGTTCAATCTTATGTCATGATACTCAATGCTTTGATATGCCTGTGAATGCTGTTGTGGCACTGCAAGCCTGTTTGTAACTCATCTTACACAACAAAAATAAAGAATTATAAAATTATAAAATTATAAAAGCAAAACTGTCATATACCCGATTGATTGTGCTATATATTTTTTTTTCTTTTAATTTGTGATTCATTTTCACTGGCTTTCCTGGCAGAGCAATAGCATGCAATGGAAATGAATTAAGCCCATAGTGTAGAGCACCTTTTCCCAGTATTGTGCATGAGTGCACCTGGAGCATCATGTGGTTTGAAGTTACCATGGAAACAGAAGTGATGCAGAGGTGAGGGATCTCTTTCTGGCTCTAGCTACAAATACGCATGTTACTCACTTACATTTATCTCATCTCTCTGAGTCAAACACATTTTCCACCACTTAAATGGTAATAATAATAATGATTTTATTACCATTTGAAGGACCCCTGTGTTGGCGAAATGCTTTTAGTTTGTTTTTAATTACTATTGTACTATTACAGGAATATTGGCCATTTTACTTTTTAGTGCCTTATACCTTTTTTATCTTTATCTATTTTGACCTGGTCACCTAGAATTTCAGAGAACAACTTACCAAAGAATCCCACGTGTGGATTATACCACCTACACCTTGAAAATTGAGCAGTAGTTCCTGCTCAATCAAATGTGAGTACAAGACCTTTTTTTGTCAATCTTTCTTTTATTGAGCCAATTGAAGGAACGTTATAGAAAGAAAAGGGAGTTTTAGCAAGTAATTACATCATATATGCACGAAGAATGCAGTAATACAGAAACTCCACTATATGACTGCCTCGTTTTTTAAATCAAGTGTAGACAGACATTTTTTTTTTGTTTTTTGCAAGCTACAAATGTATTAGCAAGATACAAGCAATGCATACAGGTGTCGATAGGAATGACTGAAAAGACATTGTCGGTGTGATGAACTGCTAGACATTATGAGTAGTAGATAGTGCAATGCTATGAGTAAATAGTAAGGTAAGGCAAGAGTGGAGTCACATGAATAGGAAAAATAAGGCAAAACTGGCTAAACTGACGTGCTTTATAGACCACTGAATCCCCACATATCTGCTCATCCCTTAAATAGATTCTCTAAAATATATATTGCCCCCATACAGGCTATATATAAAAATAAAAGAAAATATAGGCACAAAACAAAATCACTATATAGATTGAGTAGTCATGACATGAGAATGCGAGATGGTGACCAAGGAGGGGACGTCAAAGTGGTGCATGGGGCGAGTCCCAGTGAATGATTCCAGCTTCAGCCAACACCAATACTCGGGAACCAGCAGAGCCAGCTAAGAAGTGCTTTCAAATTGGGACGGAGCATGGCCTCTTTCCAACCCCAGACCATGATGAGGGTCTGCATCTTGGTTCCACGGACTCGAGAGCTCGTAGTTGAGGTCAAGTCCTTCCCAGTGGGGGAATAGCAGAAGCTCCTGGTGTTTTGCCACCGCCTGCGGTGGGGCTTTAGCCTCTGTGGAAGATGCAGAGGTAATTTAACCTTAATGGCTCTCAGCCCTGGCGGGCCGGCGGAGGGAAAAACTGGTGTACATGTGGAAGTTGTGATCAGAGGGGGCCCGCTCACTCCCTGCTCCTCTTCACCTCGCCCACTTCTCCGGCTCATTGTCGGCACCGGCATGAGGTAAGTTCCTAGTTTCGCTCCGAAGCGGCTGAAGGTTGCGTTGATGCGCTGTGTGATGCCATCTATTGAATGCCATTGATCAGGCTCCGACTGCATGGGCCCATGCTTTGGCGCGGTTGCAATCTTGAAAATGTGTGCTGGGACAGCTACTTGCAGTCAGGTACGGTATATGGAGCGGATAAGTGGGGACCGTTATAAACCCCACCAGTCCAGAGGGGGTGGGGGGATTTAGCAGGGCGTGGAGCTCACCCAGTCAGCTAAAGAGTGAGGAGAGCATCCGTCTCTCCCCTTCTCCTTCACAAGTAGGCCGCAGGGTCTAAATTCTAGCAATCCGTTGCCGTAGGGTCTCGAGAGAGGTATCAGCCAATTCACTGTGAGTCCCTCTGCAGGGTCAACATGCGGCAGTGTTTGTGTCTGCGACCAAGTCGAGGATAGCTCCAAGTTAATGGTGCCAGACACGGGAGCTCATTTCCCACACGTCTGGTCTGCGTGATAGTCAGGCTTTGCCCCGTATAAGACCTTTTTACTGGTTATTTTATACACATTTTTTGCAGAGAGAACTATTTTGCTTTGTCTTTTTTCTTTTTGGGACACCTTAACTCCGAGAAATTTGTTTCAAGTACTGTCGCCTATATCCTACCAGTGGGGGTCAACGCCACTGAATGTAAATCACACCAGAGCTTGTACTAGCTCTATTATATGTTAGTAGAACTATTACGTTCTATATACTACCCATCATCTGTTTGTGACATACTATACTATTTTAGTTTCTTCCTCATTTTTATGGTTAAAACGGATTGAAGAAGCAAGAATCTCCAGATTCCCACAAGAAGAACAAACTGAAATAAGGTCTTCATTTATTGTAATTCTATTTTTGGGCTTTTTGTTATTCATCCTTTCAATTTTATTTCTATAACTTTTATTGGACATTTTCTGATTGTATCTTGGCGCTACCTATTTTAATTTTATGTACACCCTTTTATCCTGAGGTTTGTGAGGGATCCCCATACTTTAGGTTTTGATGCCTGTATCCATATATTTTCTGGCTGGTCACCTAACGCTGATTCATCTGTTTGTCTAGATATTATTGTATTACCTTTTCTTTATAAACACAAGTTATTATAATTATTATGAACTATGACTGAGTTGTTAAACTCTTGGATTTGAAAGACATTGAGTTTGGGTGTATTCAGTAGATCTTAAAGAGATGAGTTGGACAGGGACTGGTTGACAAGACATAGTGGTCTTGGATTTAATAGGAAGATAGAAATGGTTACAGCTGAAGTTCCAAAAGGGATTCAGTAGAAATGGAAAAACAATTTTAGTAAAAGCAAAGGACATATATTAGGGGGGAATTGGGAAGTTAAACTAGTGCTGTGGATGAAGTTATGGACCTGTCATGAAGATATCAATGTTTTACAACTTCAGACACCTGCTTATTCTTTTTTTGTTAAACTATGCTTTCCCCTCTGTGTTTACGGATACTGTGCAGGTTTGGATTTGAACATACCAGTCAAACTATGCAATGATTCGTTTTTGACCTCCTGGGTGTATATGTCTTACCATTCCTGAGTAAATTACCCCTCCATAAAAGGTATAGGCTGCGATTGTACAGAGGCTAACATGATCCATAGCAGTAACACGCGAGTTTTATGGCATTTTATGCTGAAGTTTTCTCAAAAATTATAGCACAATCCTGTCACAATAAAACCAGATGATAGGTAATAACAGGCAGGGGGAGGATTTCAACATTTTTCCTCTTGTTGTTGCTCTTGAAGGAATTGATTGTTTTTTTTCACCTAGCTGTAACAATCCTTGAAGAATAAACTATTACAATAATTTGAGCATTATTGAGGTAAAATGATTGCCTCTCATTTTGTAGGCATTAATAGTTTAATGGATCACTTATGACGTTGTTATCTGAAAAGTTATTTTTTTAGGATATTTTCTATGTTAAGGGAGAACAGGAATTGGATGTACCAATTTTGAAAATCCTTACAAAATTAGTATTATTGGATTAAGGGGTTGTCTGGTTTAAAATTTTTATGGTATAACTTAAAAGAACTGTTGTCAAATGTGTAGATGCCATTTTATACATGTAATTAATTCTTATATTTCATTTTTATTTAGCATACATGCCTAAATTTGGATTCCTGCTATGATGTACACTGCCCAAGAATTAAAGTTTCTCTGTCACCTCAAACTTACCTTTCTCCAATTATTTATTTTCTTCATTTTTCAGAATCTTTATTCATTTCTTATCTAGTTCTCTTTAAAACTTAAAAAATGTGACAAAAGGTTGGGGGCTTAAGGCAAGCTTCACTTCTTTTGTCAGTCTAACAAAGGGTAAAGCTTGCCTTAAGCCCCACCCTTTGCCAAATGTAGGAAAAATACATTAGACAAAGCGATCCCTATTTTTTCTTATGTTTTAAAGAGAAATAGATGAGACATGAAGAAATGAAGAACAGATTGTGAAAGAGTAAGAAAAGAGGAAACAATAGGACAATGAGGTTGAGGTGATAGAACCACTTTAAAGAAGTCAGGATGATCATTATCTGTATCCAGACTTGCAACCCAATGAATGCTGACTGTTATCGCCCTTCTATTCAGTCATTTCTGGGTTTCTTTCCACTCACAATGATAGATAATATTATGTTGTGAAAACATGCCAGTACACATGGATTTTCTTTCGGATGTATAATTATTTCTTAAAATATAAAAGAGTACTAGCTCTAGTAGTAATTGTAGAGAAGGGAAATTACTGCAATATTTCTACTCAGTGTCCTTAAGTGATCTCAGCAGAATATCTCTATGAGCTTCACTAATTTCCACTAGCTCAGTTAAACAGAAACCTTAGGCTAAAAGGTACACATCATTAAATTCATTAGAAGAATAATGCATTACAAAGCACCTGGCTGATTGACATGAGCCAAAGATGGAGTTGCACCCCAGTTAAAAATGTTAAATATCAGACATTTTTTAGAATGTGCTGTACAGTGCTGTACAGTTCTTTGCACTATAACCACTTAATTAGGCTGAAGTGGTTATGGTGCTTAGAGTAACCCTCTAAGTACATTTACTTGTTGTCCCATAATGTGTTAGGGACTGTTTGAAGAATAATTTGTAAATAGCTTGAATTCAAAATGTTTTTTATTTAAAAGTACCATTATGTATGGTAAAAAAACTGATTACAAATATATTTATATACAAAAGCAACAGTGATAGAATGTGAAAATTTAAATAACTCTTTGTATTTGGGCCAATAGAAATAATTTACAAAGACTTGTACATATCTAATTAACAATAAAAACTGCTTAAGCCCTCCATATTTAACCTATTAAACATACCTCTGACATTTGTTCATCTCAGTCCGAGGAAGGACTGCCAGTTTACCAGCAGTCTGCCGCTCTGAGTCTGCATTTAGCTGTAAATTTGTCTTCTGCAGCTTAATGAAATCTGCTAAGATCCAAACAACCTGACTTATTTTTTTGCAAATTGATTGCAGAGACTCTGCCAGCTTAGTTTTGCATGACAAAATGGCTCTTTTTTTTTTTTCCCCTTTGATTCTTCTACATTCCTAGGTAGGTATGGCAAGGATGCTAGTTTTTAGTTACATGTTGCCAAGCTAAATAGTGCGTTTTGACATCTCAATAATTAAGATTTCATTTACAAAGGCTAGAGTCACCAAGCCCTGCTTTACAGTCACTTACAACCTTAAGGAGTTTTGAAAAAATAAAAGGCTTAATATATTACCCGCAAAGATTTTTTTTTCTAAGGATTGCTAGCTTTTTGAGAAGGTAGTTTTAATTTAATACATGACCATACAGTTGGATTTATACTGTAGAAAAAGAAGTATTATATGTACTAATCATTCACAGACACATTTTGTTTCTCAGTATCAATATCATTTATGGTTAAATAATTGTTGACCGTCCAAGTCCAAGCCCAAGCTGAATCTTAGCAGAGCCTCCAAGTGTTTTTCCTTTTACCGGGCACTCATCCGAGTTGGGCAACACAAATTTAAACATTTGGGTAGCCTCCAGCTACTGGTCTGCTGGAGACCTCCTGATTTTGAACCAGGAAGGCTTGCATAAAAGGGGACACTCTCCAGGCCTCTGTCCAAAGCCCGGAGGTAGAGGCACTTGTGCTTCAGTAACAAGTCAATCCGGACATTCAGAGACAGATCATTAATCTCCATAACTACAGATAAGTAGCAGATACAGTCCCCAGGTCCACTCCCCCATCCTCCTTCAGCCACCTGCAGTATTATTGAAAGAGAGCATTGCAGTCCATCATTCGGTGGGGAAGAGAGGAAATCAACCAAAGAGTAAGTACTATGCAATCTTGAAATTTAGCACAGAGCCTGTTGGTCAGAAAGGGGTGGAATCATGTTCAGGTGGAAGCATTTGTTGTAAGGAGGATCATCCTGTTGGAACAAAAAGCACATGGAAATGTTGGTGGAGGCTCATTAGGGCTAAATGCAGTTAGTGAGGAAAGCAGATGAAACTAAACAGGGTATCTGTAAGAGATGGCATCCTGTCAGCTCAATAGTCCAGCTTCGCCCCTATTAGATCTGTTTTTGTAACATAATGGGTCAGACAAAAATTATATTTATTTTTGTATGGTAATTAAATGGGCACTCAACCTCTAAAGCAATTCAACCTGCTTAAGTGCTTTATGTGTGAAATAGTGTGTCCTATTTTTTTTCTTTTTCTTTTCACAAAAAGTGCAGATTTCAATAGCTGGTAACACTTTTGTAAATGGACCTTGTTACACCACCCTCTGACTGTCAATCAGACAGCTGATTCTGTTACTTCCTGGTTTGGTTAGCTCAATGAAGCTAAACTCAAGAGGCAGACAATTGCCAAGAGCACCTGCCTTGCAAACACTTCTCATCCTCTTGGACGTCTGTTTGGACAGACACAAAAAGTCTGGGGACAAAGGGGCAGATTTTCAAAGGCTGCAGACAAGATGTCTGCAGCTTATGCAAGCTATTTTTAGGCATAACCACAATGAAAAAAAAGGTACACATTAATTAATGCATTTTTCAATGGGGTATATCTACTAAACAGGGACTTTTGTTTGTTTTGCATTTTGGGCAGTGGAGTGTTCCTTTAAATATTGCAACGTATCGGAGAAAATGCCCATGAAACCTAAAACAGAAATAGTGAAAGAATATGTTTAATAATGTTTACACAATTAAATGATGAGCCCATTGAAGGAAAGTAGATTAGTTATGTTTTCGACAAATATAACACAGGTAAATGCTTTGCTAGAAGTAAGTATTCTATAAGATTACAAATTGTTTAGAACAACCTGTATTTGGTATTGTGTTGCTCTAATATATTTCAAACATATTTCGATATATACTGCTTGTATAAAAAAATGTTGTTTTGCTGAAAACAAAATTAAAAATCTATTGTTTTAAAAGGAAGGAATATATACATACACTTCTTAAGGCTTACTGTTAGCATGTTTCAGAGCAATACAGTAGCAAAAGTGATTGATTCTTAGCAATTTGTCTGGCTTGGTGTCATATATAGAAACTGTAGATAAGTAGCTGCTGACTCAGGGACATTTGAAGGAGCCATCTAAACATGGTTTTGTGCAATATAACTTTGTATATGTTAAAGTCTCTGACCATCCTCATTTACCCTCTACTGCTTGACTTACCCAATAGTAATAATAACACACATTACACAGAGCTGCTGGTATGTCACCCCAGAGGTGGCTGCACGCTGACCTGCGAGGAATAATTGTAAGAACACAGTGGCACTGATAGATATTATTACAGATTGCCTGTCCGGACTGGAGCTTTCCAGCAGGAAAGCAACTTGTCTTGTTCACAAAGTGCTAGTGTTCTTGCTCTTATCCGCAGCATCAATATAACCCATTCTGTCAGGAGCCTGCCTGTGGTCAGCAGTAATGTAAATATTTGTTGGATGAGTGTGTTCCACAGACTTCAGTCAAATGGTGTAAATCTGTTCTAAACAGCTTGGTAACTATATGCTGGGAAAACAGATTTCCATTCATCCAGGAAACAATTGTCTTTAGCTGCTTTGTTATCTAAGTGGCTGTACTGGGACTTATGCAGCCACCATATCCAGACTGGCTGCCACAGGCTGGAGATTGCCACTGCCAACACATATTGCCTCTGTACCATTGCCAGGACATGCGGGTATAGAGGACATCTATCGTGCCCAAAACAATTTGTCATTCAAGGATGGACTGGCAGTTCGTTTGCACAATACTAAAATGTGAGAAAGCAAAACAAACAAAAAGAGCAGTTTAGTCATGCCTACTTCTAATGGTTGACTTTAAATTTATTTTTTTTGTTTTTTTTTAATAATCAAACTATTTTTGCAAATGATAAGCTTTTCCCCCAAGTATATTTTAGACTTATAGGGACACTATAGTCACCAGAACAACTACAGCTTAATGTAGTTGTTCTGGTGAGTATAATAGCTCCCTTCAGGCATTTTCACGTAAACACTGCCTTTTCAGAGAAAATGGTTTTTACATTGCCCGTAGGGACACCTCCAAGTGGCCACTCCTCAGATTACCACTGGAGGGGCTTCCTGGCTCAGGGCTGCACAGTAGGCAGCCCTGCCGTTCAGCGTCCCTACGCTCTGCATAGAGACGCTGAGTTTTCCTCATAGAGATGCATTGATTCAATGCATCTCTATGAGGAGGTGCTGATTCGCCAAAATGGTGTTTGGTCCCGCCCCCTTGCTGATTTTAGCCAGTGGCTAAAATGGCGATTGGCTAGAAATCGCAATTTTTATGGTGCAACCAAGGGGGCACAGAACTTTCATCAGGACAAGCATACCATTATTCATCTCCAACCAGAAAGAAGGGACTCTGGTTTGGGTTATTCAAGCTGCCCACCTTATACTGTAAAAACACACTAGAAGCTTTCCCCTGTAGACTGATATAAATATATAGAGTATTCAATAGTTTATAAAACACTGCATATTAACTGAATTAACTTAACTTGAATTCTCATTAAGTTGCAGTGGGTTCATATTTACACAAAGTAGGGCTTTATGTTGAAGTCACTATTATTCATCACTCTCTTTAAATAATTATTAATGTCATTTTTTTTTCTGTTGCAGGATAGGTAGTAGGATGCTGCGTTCTAACAGCTGAATGCATTCAGTTTACGTTCTGGAAAGCAGGGTCTTTTGTTCAGCCTCACATAACCACAAAACCACCAATTCTATTATTGGAGAAAGGGCTATGGAGGAGCAACTTTTGCATTTACATTAGTCAGAATTGAATGCTGCTTTTTTTTGGGCAATGATCTTATATTTATAGTAATTGGTAAATACTGGCATTGTATGTAGTTAGGGTGTTGGCCATTTTTTTTATTCCTGTA